GCAAAGGCCTGGGGCAGGGGCGAGAGATGAGTGGCATGATGTGGCACGTTGTGGCCCAATATGGCTGATGGAGAGCCACCATGGAGCGTTTGGAGATTCAATCCATTTCAGATCGGTTCCAAATTCCTTGAAGTTTCACGAGTGAGGAGAGGGGCGCCACTACAGCCCGGAGCTACTCCAGAGCGAGCAAAAAGAAGGCATGGGCTGTTTGGCATGGCAGGGCTTTCTGTGGCCAAGGGTGGCTACACCGCCCTTTTGATGACACATGTCCTCCGCAGGCAAACAAGTGGATGGAAATGACCAACAACGGCCAAAACAGACCCAAGCCTCCAAGAGAATTGCATCCAAACGGTCTCCTGGTCCCAACACGTCATGAAGAGTCCCGACATCCCACACCGCACTAGTCCGGTGCTGGCGGCCTTGCACCAAGCCGCAAGGCCGCAGCGTGACCTGAGGGGTGCTGGGGCGGAGTTCCGTGGAGCGTGCGGCTCGGAGCTCCGCTCGGAGCGTGGCCTCGTTCGTTCCGATCCGATCCGGCCACACCTCGTTCTTCGCGTCGCACGGAACAGTTGGAACGGGTGCTTTTGGTACAGTTCTTCTTGCTTCACTTTTTGCCCCCGGATGGTTTGGAAGAAGGGGCTGCCGAGCCGCAGCCTAAGTCTAGCCTGGGGCTTGGAGCTTCGACTCTCCTGGGCCGCTAGCGGCGTAGCTTCCGCAGCGAAGGACAGGAGGCCGATTCGGCTGCACATGTGGGTATACAGGATGGTACAGGTATTGCTCCTAACACCTCCACCAAGTAACTCCTTAGAAGGTCCAGACTGGACCCTCTAAGACTCTAAAGCCACCCACCATGTTTTTTGGGGGGGTCGGGGACGATTCGATTTCACCGGACGGACGTGGGACAGCCGGAGTGGTCATGGGGCATAGGCCGCCGGCGAGACCCAGTGTGAAGTACCAAAACGGCCACCGACCCACACGGGAAATAGATGGAAATGATGGAATGGTAAGCTTCATGTAATCCGAAAAGAGTGAAGGGACCACTGTAGACGGGCTGAAGGGACTGCGGGTGCGTTTTATAGGCTGGCCTGGCTTGGCTTTCTGCATAGGTGTGGCGTTTTTCAGAACCCACGACGGGTGGGAGCCACCGGAAGAAACATTCACCCACCTGGTTCTTCAAAGTGACCGAACTTGATATCCCTGTTTGAGGTCGAAAGGGCCTGTAAAGGGTCACTGGCACTCCAAAGAGGTCACTTTGAAGAGGCTGCCATGTGTTAGGTCTGAGGATGTACCATGATCTACCAAACCGATGTGATTTTCAGGAGTTGGTGGTTGCCCCACCAGGGGCTTAGATGCAATTGGGAGGTATGCCGCACAAGGGGCACAATCAAGAGATGGAGGATCCATGCCTTTCGTCCATCTAATTAGCAAAATCGAGGGGAGAAGTGCACAGGAAATGCTTGCACTCCCTGTGGCCGTTGTGTGTGAACACTTTAGCTGCCCCGTTGGGGTGGGGCATGAAAAAGCTGAGGTGTGCCGCGCACATGTGCTGCTGTTTTTGGAGGTTTTCTTCACCGAAGAACATCCATGAAGCCCAGGACATCCATGGGACTGGAATAGTTACTTACATTAGGGTCATCAATGGGGCAACCCTGGGGCTCCAGTCGTACCTTCTAAGGTGTTTGGGTGGGTTTAGAATGGTTTAGAGGGTCCAGTCATACCGAACCTGAGGAGGTACGACTGGAGCCCTAGGGCAAAGGATAAATGTTCAGTCCCATGGATTCTTTGGGAAGTGACAGTGGGTACCACTGCTCCCAATATGACGTGGCAAGGGGAGCTGACAGTCGCGACGGGCCCCGGGGTTGATGTGGGTTGGTTCCAGCTTGTCATTATGTTTGGGAGAGATCAATCTGATTGGCTTGTTGGTTTTGGTTAGGTTGAGGATATGGCTAGGATGTGAACTGGCTTTTGGGTGTTTGGTTTGGTTTGAGAGGTCGCAACTCTTCAACCTGTCGAGCCTCATCTCCACCCCATCGCCTCATCTTCGCTGGGGTGGGCTTTGTTCAGTCCTCGGATTTCGAGGTCGGTCTCATGGCAGACAGCGTGCTTACAAACGAGGCGGCCCTCGAGGCGGCTGTGTTCTGTGCGTCGTTTTTTGTTGTCAGTGATCATGTTATGTATGTGTTTTTTTGAAGGGTGAATGGCGCAGATATGGCTAGAGAAGTGTGTGTGTGTGTGTTTTGCCTCTTAAGCATGGCTACGATTGGTTTCAGCATGAGTTCGGCATGTTTGGCCATCAACTCTTGCGGATGGAAGGGCAATAGTTTCGGTTTTTGACCAGTTTCGATCCAGTTTGGGTCACCCATTCTTTGGTCGTAGGCTGGAGTTGTTTCAGGCTACCCCCCGCCGAGCAACAAGGCCTGTGCTCGTGCTGAAGTACGGTGGCGAGCATCGGCAGAGCAAGGCTGGTCCAGGAGCGGTGCTCTAGTGACTCTAGTGAGTTCATGCGAGGACCTTCCCAGTGGCCTTTCGAGATCCTGGGAGGTCTACAGAACTCACCTTACAGCGTCTAAATCTTCTTATAGTGATCTCTTCCAGACCTTTTAAGATCCCAGTGGCTGAGGGTTTTCCAACAGATCTTGAAGGGGTCACGACTACTAATCCCAAAGAGGTCACAAGTGGAAGGTCGTGGTGGTTGGCTCTTCTTCCAAAACGCCACTGGGCAAAAATTGCGGTGGATCCCCAGTTGCTTGTCTTTATAGTTTCTCATCTTAGATTTCAACACGGCTTTCAGTAATGAACAGCGAAATTTAGCCCAAACTTTGCATGATGCTATGTTCTAGATTGTTTTAGCATTGGGAGCTTCAATGCGACGCCATTCTGCGCAGCCATTGGGGCTCAGTTTCGCTCTTGCTCCTGCAGCCGATCCATTGTCGGTCGATTCATGTCGGAAGTGAACGATCCGAGGAAGTGCTTGAAGTGTATGGGGAGTGGTCAGATTCTACAGCCCTTCCACTTCATGAACATGGTACTGCAACTCGCTGTGGCAGAAGTCCGATCCAATATCCGATGCGTTCTTCGGACTGTTCAATTTTGACCCACTCTGCCTATGCTTGTGCCATTCATTGAGCAGAAAGGTGTAGAACGATGATGAAGGATGCCTGTGTGATGTGAGTGGGAAGCAGACGATAAAAGATGGTTCATGCATGTTCATGCGCATTTTGCCATTGCAGCTCCTTATGATACGCCTCGGTTGCCTGAACCACAGAGGTTCACAAGTAATTAGGTTGCACTCATTTGAAGCATAGCTGGCTGACTGCAACCCAATTGCAGCTTCAGCAGGTCTTCTCTACATGGTCTTTGGACCCTGCTCTAATTGGTTGAGCTGCTTCTATCGGGTCCTGGTACTTTTCGGCGGTGAGAACGCTACTAGTGAGCTTAGTTTTGCTGAATCAGGCTAGCGATGGCTGGCGGTGTTCCCCGAACTCAAGAATCCCTCCGGAATGCTTTTTGGAACTGGCGAAGTGCCGCAGCAAAATCAAGTGAGGCAATTGCCTCTCCAATGCAATCACTGCGGTGGGGCGGGGTGGACCGTCGTGTGCCTGGAGTGTCACTTCGAGCTGCACTGGCGCTGGGATTCCTGCGGTGGGGTGGACGCACCAGTCTACCGATATTCTGAAATTATCATGAATGAAGGGAGGGCAAGCACCAGGCAAAGTCAATGGTTGCTTCCGTGCGCAATAGCTCTTAAATCTAGGCACTCGTTTACTTGGCAAGAGATGGCAGTAGCACACAGGTCTGCTGGTCCCGAACCGCCAAACCCAAATCCGCATGGTGTGGTTCAGTCGGGTATAGGTCTACCATGGTCTACCCAATTTTCCAGACGTTCCAAACAGGTTGACCCACTAAGGGGTCCAAGACGCGGTGTCATGTCCATTGTCTTCCATGTGCTATAGTAATTGAACATGTAGTGGACCGACAGGACTTGAACGGAGCCTCACAGCAAGGCCAAGGGAAGGGCTCCCACATGAAAGTGGTGCTTCAGCATGGATGGTTGCCTCAGCAAGTGCAGGAGATTCTTGAATTCAACCGGTGAACTCCTTTGAGCGTTTTAGTTTTCATGATTGTAGGATCCAAAAGTGCGATATTCTGAGAGTTTAGATCTCTGACTTGCCGCACATGTAGCCTTCACCTGCGTTTTCTAAGAGAGAGGCCGTAGTAAAACCAAGCTACTCAGGAAATGCAGTGGCTGCGCTGGTTGGGGCAAGCTGGCGGCAGCTCGCCAGTCGCCTGCCAAGCGCAAGCGGGTTGAACACATGACTGGTACAGAGTCTTGGCTGAGGTCAGCAGGAGAAACTACTTGTACAGGTCCTACAGTGAAAAAGATCGAAGTGATAGGCAAGAATCTTACGTGTTACTGCTCATCCGTGAAGTTTTGGCATGTATCAGCCTGCCTGTGTCCAATGCCAGATGTTAGTTCTTGTAATCCTCGAGCGCCAACGTGGCAATAGTCCGCCTAATCCATGTCACTGGTCCGTTTGCAACACTCTTTCCCTTGCCTCACCTGCCAGCCGCCGTTGTGCGCACGAGGAAATGAGAGAAGAACTGCGTAAGATGAAACGCAAAGTTTCCGGGACGAAGGCAGAGCTTCAGAAAAGGCTTGAAGAGGTGTTCGAGACCAATGACCGGGGTTGGTTGACTCGTGGAGCCCCGGCACTTTCAAAGGGCGCCTACCTGGAAAGTGGGACGTTTCGCGATGTCTACATGGTGACTTATACCAAAGGCCCACGAAAGAATATGAAAGGCGTCTACAAAGTCTTCAAGGACCAAAAGGCAGAGGTTCTGATCCAAGAAGATTTGAAGGCTGTGGAGGAAGCAGGTCGCATCATCAAAGCCTTCAACGAGTACAATGATCAGTGCATCGGATCATCCGCCAGACGCCGAGTCTACCTCAACCAACCTGAGGTTTGGTCGTTGAACGGCCGGCCGATTTTAGTGGAACCCTTCATCGATGGCACCTATGCAAAGTTCAATTCAAACAGTGGATGGGTCAATGAAGGCTACAATATGATGCAGGCTTTGTCGCATTTCTCATTTCATGTTTCAAACGGCCACCTCTCAGCACTTGAGCTCTGTAGGTGTTTTTGTGCTCGTTTTTCTTTTACGTCTCACGGTGTCAACCTGCTGTTGGCGGTCATCCACCCGGCCGCAAGGTCAGCACCTCCTTTGTGACTTGCAAGGGGGCGGATACGACACGCACTATATTCTCACCGATCCGGCCGTGCTGTCCCTTAAGCAGGAATTTGGTGCTACAGATGGTGGGAAGCGGATGATGAAGAGCCTTGGGCAGCCGTTTGAGCAGCTGTTTGTTGCAGAACTATCCCGTCTTGGTTGAAACCCATCCGGAAATAGTAGAAAATCCATGAAAATCCTTCCTTGTCCGGACTGTCCGAGGAATTTCTTTGCACATCATTTGTGCAACGAGTATTGTGATCCAAGCTGGCTGTGTATGGAACGACCCAAAGTGGTTGCTCCGGCGAGATCCGGCACCTCCTTCTTCCCAAAGGCCCAGCGATCCACAGCCATGGATGCCTTTCGCAATGCAAAATTCAATCGTTGGTAGCCGAAAGGGGGACATCAACCTGGGGAAGGCCGTGCAGCAATGCATGCTGGTTTCAAGTTGATAGAGTGCGTCTTTTCAACAGTTTGCACTAGTTGCACTGGTGTGATGCTTTTTTGGGGTTCAGCATGCTTTCATTCCGTGGCCGTTTCACTCTTTCATAGCTCGTCGGAGTCGCATCTCTTTTTGAGATCTTTGGTTCATCACCGTGGCATTCGCTCGAGCGGTGCGGGGAAAAGGGTGTTTGTTGCCATCGAATTGGCTAGCTTCGGGGCATTTGCATTCATTTGCCACGTTTCTGGTCGTGGGCCCGTGTCAGGTCGCGCAGGACCCCCCTTTCCGGACCAAAGAGACCCGTTACGAAGAACACCAGCGGAAGCTTACCAGCGAAGCTCTAACGACGTGATCACGGTGGGTGGGTCAAGCCTATCAAACTCTCCTGTTGTTGGGCGAACTCGTTGAAAGGCTCGATATGTCCCGATTTTGGGGTTCGGGTCCTCTGAAAGGGATTTTTATGGATTTTTAGATCTTACTATAGGAACAAGAAGCCACGATCGGGGCTCCTGGCCTTACTACTAGGAGCGATCGGACGCTACGAACGGACTCCGGGCATCGCTACTAGTAACAAGAAGCTACTAGCGACCCCATGGGGCCTCCCACAGACAGTTCTCAGCGACCCTTCTCTCGCAGAGAAGGCTTGGCTCCGGCGTGTGGCTCCGGCCCCTGCCTGCAGACGGACGGAGGTCCTCGAGGACGGCGCGAGCTGGTCAGCACTCGGAGCTACACGAGTTGCACCGTGATGTCGGGGTAAAGAGATGGGAGTTGCTGTCGGGTTGCCGTTTGCAACCTGTCAATCTAATTGAAGCAACCTGTCATGTTCAAAAGAAACGCAGCTCACGCGAATTGGGTTGCCCCTCCGATTTGCTCCGTGGAGGACATCTCGGTTGGAAGAAGGATGGATCTTATCGAGCATGTTTGATCGATGAAACGAATCCGATAAGATATTAACATTATATGTTAACTATATAGATATATTTACTTATTTTGCAAAATGTGTGTTGGGCATTTTGTTTGATATATTGAGATGTTATAACTATAGAACTGAACAGAGCAACCTAAAACCAATACCAACGGTTTAGAGACAACATCATCAATGTTGTATGGACCGGATCACCCGATAATGGATGAAGCTTTTTGAGTTTGTGACTGAGTGCGTGGGTGAGTGAGTGAGTGACAATGATTTGGTGCGAGTTGAGTTGGTGTGAAACGAGAGTTGGTGAGTTGAGGTGGTGTGAGATGAGCTGGTGTGAGAAGGAGGAGGAGGAGGCAGAAAAGAAGAGCCCCCTCAAGAAGGAGCTACCTTTGCCATGGGCTGCTCATTTCAAAACATCAGTTGCTTGGTGGAGATAGGTCTACGGTTGTGCCGTGCGGTGAATTCAAGGCAGTGCGGCACTGTAACGCTTTACGATTCTCATTTAGGGCGATGCCAGCGGGAGGGACGCAAGGAAGGTCGGCGAAAGGCACTTGGACATCCGCCCTGAGAGTAGTAAGGAGTAAGGTGAGCTTGTCCACGCGTCTCCAATGAAGGTGGCTTTCCCATCCGCTGCGACTACACATGGCCTCCTTGAGGCCGTGGAGTGGGCCATATGTGTCTCGTGGAACGCCGGGAATTACACTGCCAGAACACCGTCCACGAGGTGGATGCACAAGCACGATGAGGCAGTGGAAACCAAGTGAGATGCCTACTTCCGCCTCGCCACTTTGTGTTTTGCCTTGCGGTCAGGAAATGATTGTAAATCCAGAAAAGCTGGGGTCTTACCGTTTGCTGGCGGGAGATCAAAACGTAGCGTTGAATTCCCGTCAAAATTGTCCTTCTAAAATGGTGTACCTTGAGGCCACTATAAAGCTATCATTTTGTAGAGCACTATTTTTTGGCCCTACAACATGGCACCCCCTTTTGCCTTGAGAGCGGGAAGCTATGCGGGTGTGTATTTTCCAGTGTTTTGTTGTGTTTTTGCTGTTTTTGGACTGCTTCAAGTTGCAATAGGTCTAGCATTGGGTATGGTATTGTAATCTGTCCTGGATGTGTCCCACAGAAATTTGGAGCCTTCTTTTGTTACAACCATTCACCTTTGACCTGTGGTAGGTTGATGCCATTCACCCTTGACCTTTGGCAATGGTAATGCAGATGGTGATGACAATGCTAATGGCGATGGTGGTGGTAATGCCATTCACCGACCTGTGCGAGCTTGATGCCATGCACCCTGTGATCTGTGGTAATGAAAATGGTAATGCCATTAACCCTGTGACCTGGGGGGCTTGATGCTAATGCTGACGTCACTGGGAATGCTAATGGCACCGGTAATGGCCATTCACCCTTGCCGTGTGGCAATGATAATGGTCATGACAATGGTTATGGAATGTCATTCACCCTGTGACCTGTCGGAGGTATGTACTTTGTGACCTGTGGCAGCCAATTCCTGCGACAATGGCAATGCAAATGGCAATGGTGATGATAATGCCATTCACCCAGTGAGCTGTGGGACCTCGATGCCAATCACCCTGTGACCTCACACACTCTGTGACCTGTAGTAATGGTTATGCTAATGACAAGTGTGATGGTAATGCCATTCACCCTTTGACCTGTGCGGGTAAGATGCTAATGACAATGCTAATAGTATTGAGCACGCCAATGGTAATGCGAATGCTTGTGCTAATAGCAATGGTATTGCTAATGCTACTGGGCCATAGTACTGGTAATGGCCATTCGCCCTTGACCTGTGGCAATGGTGATGGTAATGCCATTCACCCTGGAGCTTCATGCCATTCACCCTGTGACTTGTGGGAGCTTGATGCCCCACAGGTAGTATCTCGGGGGGGTTGGCGAAAAAAAATGCTACAAAAAAATCAAAACCATTTGTTTTTTGGCCGAACACCCCAACAAAATCCGGTGAACTAGGAAGACTACTATCCACGAGCAGATAACGAACACCTACCAACAATTACGAGGTCTCGTCCTCAACGTTTGAACACCTTCAACATGCAAAATCCTAAAACAAGCGTTTTCGAGAACATTGGAAAACACATTCCCACATATATATATATATATATTATATAATTTCCTTTTCTGTTTATTTTCCACGTGATTTGTAAAGGATGCTCCTCAACCCATACCAGGCATTTTGTAGATACAAAAGTGACGTTAAGGCCCAGCAAATTTAGTTACTTGCCAGCCCGTCTTTCCCACGGGTGTGCTCCAACGTGCTTAGGTGGTTCACTCCCATGTGTTACCGTATAATATGTTACCATATGGATGTATTTTTCGAATTCAACGTGTCATTTTGTCAGAAAAATCTATTTTAAATAGAGATTTTTGGGTTACAATTGCATGATTCAAGTTTGAAGAGCGTTTTGTAGAGATTGTTTAAATCATGTTATAGAGATATTGGGGCTATATGTTGAAGAAGAAACATTTTGTAAACAATGTGTTTATATAATTTTTTATAAACCAATTTTTGAGTCTACAAAATGATGCCTTGAGAAAATCAAGAACATGATCGGCAAGAATAGCCACAAAAAAAGCCTGCTAGATGAGGGTTTCAACGGTATTTTGACGAGGGCACCTCTCCCCTGTGATGAATCGCTTTCGGGACCCTGATACTCATGAAGGAGGATCGTGGTCCTAAGATAAAGCTAATCAAATTCCAGGTTGTTGAAGCAAATGTTTATTATTTGGGTAGATTAAATCACATTCGGGTGAATCTATAAATTTATAAATAAAGTGCTACTACATTTTAAAAATAATATATATATATTTATGGAAATATGATTATACAATTCATCTATGTTTATTTATATATTATATTTAAATATATATTTATTTGATTATATTTTCTGAACAATGAAATTAATATAAGAACATTATTTTAATAGGAATATGTCTAAATATATAGATATTAATTAATTGGAATAGAAATAAATATGTAAATCTATAGAAAATGGTTTTGAAATATATTTTTTTTCTTGACAAAATATTTGATATTATACATTATGAATATATATATAACATAAATTGGAAATATAAATATCAAAAATGGTATATGTATTTTCTTGAAACTTTATATAAATATGTGTATATATTATATTTTAATTAAAACATAAATATTTGATTATACAATATTTGAATTATATATTTGAATTGAATTATAATTAATACAATATTTATACACTCTAAATATATATATTAAAATTGAAAACAACAATAAATATGTTCTTTTTATGAATAACAATGAAATTATTGAATTTGATATTCTTCGGAATAATAAATTAAAATTTCTTTACTTCGAGTGATCCCCACAATGACATTTCAATCATTTGACTTGATGCCATACTGAGGAGCATGTTTCCATGGTCGTGAGTATTGTAGTTCTCGATTTTGCTTGTGGGTCCTCGGGTTGTGTGCTGCGGTTGTGTGTTGTGGTTGTGGTTGTGTGCCGTGTTGTGGTTGCGGTTGTGTTTGTGATTGCGTGTTTGTGGTGTGTGTTTGTGATTGTGTGTTTGTCGTTGTGTTGTTGTGGTTGTGTGTCTATTGTTGTGTCTTTGTGGGTGTGTGTTTGTTGTTATGTTTGTGGTTGTATTTGTTGTTGTGTTTGTGGTTGTGGTTGCGTGTTTGTGGTTGTGTTTGTGGCTGTGTGCTTGTGGTTATGTGTTTGTGTTTGTGTGTTTGTGCTTGTGTTTGTGGCTGTACGTTTGTGGTTGTGTCTGAGTCGTCGTGTTGTTGTGGTTGTGTGTTTGTGGTTGTGTTTGTGTTTGTGTGTTGTGGTTGTGTGTTTGTGGTTGTGTTTTTGTGGTTGTATTTGTAGTTGTGTCTTTGTGGTTGTGTGTTTGTGGTTGTGTGTTTGTGGTTGTGTTTGTGTTTGTGTGTTGTGGTTGTGTGTTTGTGGTTGTGTTTTTGTGGTTGTGGGTTTGTGGTTGTGTTTGTGGCTGTGTGCTTGTGGTTATGT